ATGTCTCACTCACAAAGGCGCGGTGCATCTCGGACATCATGCTCCTCATGTTGGAGAACATGCTGTCGAAGTGAGAGAAGGGGTCCATGAAGAGGCTGCGCTCCGACACCTGCATGTTCTGGGCCTGTTGCTGCTGCCTCTGTCGGTCCATCCGCGTGGCACCAGGCAGTGCCAGGAGACCCCCACCTCCCATGTTGCCAAACGGATCTCGAAACATTTGATTCATTTGTCTCATGTGCTCGCGGTGACCCCTGCAACAGAAAGCAAGATGATGCAGGAACACATTCCTTACAGTGTCATTTCCAAAATAAGAGGAAGGAAGAAGACTAGATTTTTATATATCATGTATACTGTACTTTCAAAATGAACTCAACAAATATGAGACAACAACCAAATGTTACTGTTCTGAAGCTGGAAAATTACAAAATGAAATTCAATGCTATACCATGTGATTATGCAATTCAAAACTCAGCAATATGTGTCATCCATTTCAAATTTTTGTTTTAGTTTTATGGTTATGGATTAAGTAGTTTTCTGACAAACATTTCTAACATCTGTTGTACACGTATCATGAAGGCTCTTTCAATAAAAAGTCCTGCTGTAGTGGACTGACCACAGCCCGACCCCCCACTTGCTAGTCATAGAAGTAAAGTAAACGGAAGCCCTGGGTCCATGTTCTAAAGTAAACGGAAGCCCTGGGTCCATGTTCTAGAAGTAAACGGAAGCCCTGGGTCCATGTTCTATTTCTTCCTTCTCTGTCCACACAGCAGGCCGGTACCAAAGAGTTTGGGCAAGAAAAGGGAAATCTGTACACATGGCATGGTTCCACAAATCACAAGTGAGCACACCAACTGTCCCAACCATACTGTGCAGTAGTTTTGTTGTGGGGCTGAGCTCAGAGGCTTTGACTTTGGACTTTTTTTTGGACTTCCAGACAGCAGGAAGTCAGTACGCTTCACCAGAAAACACCCCAGCTAGTGAACGGTGCATCAGGAAGTTGATAAGTTGAGATGCCTGTGCCCAGACGGCATCAATCAGATAGTACAACATCTACATTTTTTTTTATTTCGGATTTTTCCTGTAAGTAAATTTTATGAAACATAGACAGCATGATGAACCCATGAAATCTGGACCAAGTCTCCCTATTATACAGTGGAAACCGCTTACAGGATATTACACGTAGTAAATTATGAAATCCCACACAAGGGGCCTGCCAGTGTCAGTACATGTAATCGGTTTTGGTGGAACGCTCTAACATAACTTATTTAAATCTATAGAATCTAATGAAGGTAGGAACATCAAATTAAATGACGTTACACGATACAACAGCCCCCCCCCCCCTTTCCCCAACAAAAAAAATTAATAGAAAAACAACACATCAGAATAACAAAAAGACAAAAAAATTACACATCAACAAAATAAAACACCACAAAGAGGGAAAAATAAAAGAGGAACAGAAATACAAATCGTATGTAACTGTAATGTATTCAACAAATCAACGTGGTGACAAATGAGAAAGAGACGAAGTGAAGCTAAGTGAACTTTCTTTCAAAAGTAAAGAGGTTCCGTTTCTTTTTTGGGGGGGGGGACCAAAACATCAAGCAACGATTGATTGGTCGCGGCTGAGACAAACGCAAAGAGATGCTCGTTCTAGATCTATGTGTCGTTATCAATAACCCTCCATAGATCTAGATCTAGACAGCAAATGAGTGAACACAACACATTAAGTTGAAGAGAAACACCCTTCATAGATTCATAGGCAACACGTCATAGATCTATCTGTAGAGAAAAACTGTTTGGAACTGTAGAATTTCTTTATAAATATTTACTGCGGACATTTTTTGGACCGATTGAACCTTATTGTGTACGAACAATCTTTGGTAGGCCTATAATATAATAAATAGATCTCTATATGTATCCAAAATTTGCGGGAAAGGATGTGATTTCAGAGTGTTCGGAGAAATAGTGCCCAGCTTTATTTTCCCGAACGTTCGGAGAAATAGTGCCGGCCTTATTTTTTTAAGCGTGGGTTCGATCCCGATCCTGGACAAATTTTTTTTCGGACGTCCATCTCGATAAAGAACAATCAAATATTTCAAAAACTATTAATTGGCGACGGAAATGAAGTTGATATTCGTGATCAGCGCATCAATATTTACATCTAGTAGAAAATGGACAACTGGTAGTTAAGTGTGAGACAGGAGGGGAAGTAAAAAAATTCCCAGCTTTTTGCCTAGCCTAGAAGCCTTCTAAAGGCCTAGGCTCTATGACTATGATCTATTTAATAATTGGCCTCCTTAATAATTTATAAATCTAGATTTCTAGATTTAGATCTAGACCTTCCCTTTTTTTCACCAAATCTAGAGATATTAGATCTAAAATCTAGATCTAGATATCTAGAATGGAAGAGGCTAGCCGGCAGTCTAGTACTTATTCTTAATATGATGGCTAGACTGACCATTTTTTAAAAAATAGGCCTACTGAATTGTAAATATAAATTTTTAGTGTTCAGTACCTAAAGTATTTGTATTTGAGACGAAACCAGGGGCCTTAATGACAGTGCATGTATTTTAAACCTCCTGTTTTCTAATGTTAATAGGGCCTAAGATAAGTACGGCT